ATGGAAGTTGTCCTATGGCATGAGTGCTCTGGGAAGAGCGCACGACATAGTCTTTGCAGGAGTAACGGCGTTCATCTATTTTACATCAAAAAAGAAGGTCGCTATTGCACTAGAAAATGGAGAACGAAGACTTAACTATAACAGAAGATGCCCTAAGATAGCCTACAATGAGAACCCTTCACCTACATAAAGGAGATGTTCAACTTAATGAAAGAGGGAGAACGTTAAGGGGAGGGCTTCCAAGGTTGTATTGCACTAAGCAAGGGAAATCACTCCCTAAGTATAAACAGACTTGAATACTAGAGAAAGTCATTTTCTTACAATCTAAGGGGTTCCTCCCATCTTCCTTTGATCTTCTTTAGCCAATAAGAGCTTTCTTAGAACCCTAAACATCATGCAACCATGTGTTTGAACCAAATTTGTGCACCATCATGAATGGTGGAGGCACAAACTCGAGCAACCTGTAAAACATAAAACAACCATAAGCAAGCCTAAAGCTGGTGTGTATGGGGGATGGGGTATGTACCAAACAACGGCTTTCCGACAGTCAAGTTAGTAAGCATTTTTAGACTCAAGCAGTGGGTAAGAGAATTAAAGCATGGAGATTGCGTTACCAGAGATGAACCCTAGATTGGCATATTTATACGTGGGGAGAGAGACCTTTTTAGGATAGAATCATTGTTCTAAGTTGAGAGAATCCTAGAAGATATCTAGAAATAGGTATTGCACCTCTTTAGGACTTGTGATTACTTGTAGTGCATGCCAATTCCTTGATTGTAGGAACCCCAAGACTTATAAGGATCTAATTGAGTCCATGTTCGGATCAGATTGCATGTCTTGTGGAATAAGCATGGTCATTCTAACGGAGTCGTTCAGATTTCACCTATTACCCCATAATAGGGTGATGGTGGCACCGCTGCTCCATCTGGTCCAGCTTTATCCGAAGTTGTTGTGTCAATGACTAGACTTTTTGAGGGAACTGTATTCCGATCAACCTTACTCTGGCCCTAGAAAATCATGGTCCCACACCATGCAAAGTTCTCGCTCATGCTAAACTGACAAACTTCTAGCCTTCATGCCACACTTTGCTTAGGCAAGTCATTATTTGTCTAATCACGTTAGATTCGAGCCATTAATCTAACTGAGATACTTCCAAAAATATGTTAATGCTTTCGAGGTATCTCAGCACTTAGTATTCAAATGGACCAAGGAAGGCAAATGGCATCTATCAAATCTTAAGCCAAGCTTGACCTAAAAGTCCCTTAACAATAGTTTTCTCTTTCTCCTTTCTTGAAACAAGTGTTGAGTTGTTTCGATGTTGCTTTCTACAACTTGACTCCTGGGTTGTTTCGCATTCTCACCTGCTTTGAGTTTTTGAATGATTGGTATGAGGCAGAGCTAGGTATTTAGGATTTTCGCATGCTTTACACTATGCGCAAGAACTCTGATTCACACTACTTCTTTCAGTCGAAACCCAGCATCAGCTAGCCCACCTACACAACTAACTTGCCATGTCAAGACAAGGATTGGTACAAAGACATTCTGAGTATAGACATAAAATTGGGGAATGAGACATTTCTGAACAACATATTCGAAATACTTTATTCACCGTCCTCATCTGTAACAAAGACGTCATAATTATCAGCCAATGTCATCTTTATTTGATTGATAGGGCATTCAAAAGCATTCCCGTTGAACACTATAATTGGAAATGGCTCATTGCACCAAAGAAAATCAGAGAGAATGGGTGGGACACCATTATTGATTTGTGCAGCAATCATCCCATCGAGAATTTATCATGGGTCAGCATAGCGGGCACCAAAGACAGGAAGGATTTAGTAAAGATCCTAGAAACTTCAAGGTTATAGATAAAGAAAGGAAATGTCCTGAGAGCTCTGCAAAGAAACCAGCCAGTAAGAAACCTTCTAAAAAGAAATCAAACTAATCAAGGATACTTAATGTTCCTTTCGATAATAAAGTGTTGGAGATCCAGGACGCCACTCCTCTCTAATTAGGGTTACTTGCCTCTAAGCAATAGTGAACTCTGACGGGTAAGGACAAACTTGTGGCGAAATTGCTCGATAATTAGATTTTTATTAATGCTCTCATCCTCCAAACATGTCCATTTGTTGGCCCGAATCCACAACAACAACAACAATAACAACAACAATAACAGCAACAGCAGCTAAAGCAACAAGAACAAGAGTAAGTACCAGATGAGTTTGTCGTCACCAAAATCCTAGAAATATCTGGTGACCATTACACTTCTCCCATCCCTAACATAAAAACCGATGTGGTCGATCTTACTGATCTACAACCATCCCCCATCATGAGGCTTGTCAGCAGTCTTCATGATGCAAAGCACGCCCAGGCCTTAATGCATTCGGCCATTGCGCCAAGTGTTCAAAAATTGTTACTTGAGCCGTTATGCAGTTAATCTTTTTTACCTTCATTGTTTCTAACTCCTAATTCTTCCACTTGCTTTCATACCTGATATATTCTCAATCCATTTGCCTAGGCGAATGCATGGACAGAAGCTACTATCTGGAGCTAGACAAGTAAAATCTTTCAGGTTGAAGTATCTTGCAAACCCAAGCTGGGCTGTCGAATTCAATTAGAGAGACAATTGCAGGAGAGAGCCGTGGACTTAGAAAGATTCCAGACCGAGCAAGATGTGTTGTCGCAGCACCTTTACTACGAGGAGAGAAAGGCAAATGACCGGGTGCATAAGTGGTCTGTCTTGAGGTTGAGTTTGTCCAATTACGACAGAACAAGGATGATGCAGAGCACATAGTCATGGAAGAGTGTAGCTCGTGAGACGCGGATCGCACCTCTTGCAATCAAAGCTAGACGAAGCCCAACAAGAGGCAAGCCAGAAAGAAGAAATGTAAGAAGACAATGCTTCAGAGTTGACGGAGGTTCGAGTTCTATTTGAGACAACGGCTGATATGAAGTTCTTAGAGAGGTATGAGTCATGACCAAGGTTATACAGCATGCTTAGCAAGCTAGGGTCATAGCAACGGGTAGGATGTGCCTGTTGGAAACTGATTGCCATTTCCTCCATCCCTAGCTGCGAAGGCTACAAAACTAGAGCTTTTGAAGAATAGAAATTGAGTAAAAAGTTGGAAAATGTTGTATTTATGTTAAGCTTAGTGTTATTCACACATCCTTTTTTGTCTTAACATCTTTGTTAATTTTTGTCCATTGGTCTTCTTCAATTCTTTCTATCCAACGGCCAGAAAATAAGAATGGTGTGTGAGGGGTAAAAATGAGGTGTAGATAGCATCACTCTATGTTAATTAATGTGAATAAAATTTTATTTGAAGTCAATTGCAATCTCATTGAACAACATGGATATGACTGGTAAACGTTTTTTTTTTGTTAGGTACAAGAGATATTCTACGATAAATTCATCTTAAATTACTAGGAATATTCAAATTTGGGTAGGAGGACATTGCTTTAGTCAACTTGACTAAGTCCATGTTTGAGGATATGATTGGTAAGGTTAAAACTAGACATGGTAATTTCTTACATGGCCCGTTAACACGACATGAAAATAATAGGTTTCAAGTCGGCACGATAACTAATCGGGTCACACAACAAGAACCCGTTAATCACGGGTCCTTAACAGGTTTACACGAGGGTGACACGCAGGTAACCTGTTTTGACACGTTAAGAAAAATGTTATTTTGTTAATTTTAATTTTTTAAACTACTAAAAAAACTTACTATAAAATACAATAGCCATAGTATAAATGTATATATTGTATATCAAATATGTATTATTGTATTATTATTCTATATAAATTTAAAAAAATTAATTTTTATTAATTTTTTTTAATATACTATAGGCAAAGAGTGAGATTAAAAAAAAATTATAAAACACATTAAAAAAAAATATCAAGTAATTAAAAATACCAAACACATTAAAAAATTATAATAATTAATTTACAAGTGTGAAAAATGAGAAAAAATAAGCAAACGCTCGTGGTCGCATCTTCTATGCTCTGAGGATGGGTACATCGCCGTTTGAATTTTTAGAACTATACAAACCCTCATGAATAGTATTTTTAAGGGAGTTCAAATAAATGAAATTCATAATCATTTTGTAGTAATGTTTTTCATTAGGCTCTTATTTTGGGATATCTAATACTTGAAAGACACATGTTTTTTTTTTTTTTGAAGTAATATATGTATATACTAATTTAGTATTATGTTTTCCATTTTTTTGAGGTCAAATTATATTTTTCATTTTCATTATTTATTGATTTAAAATATATTTTTTAATAGATAATGAGTCGGGTCATATCACCTGATAATGTTAATGGGTTAATTTTAGGTTGAGTCATATTACCCGTTTACTTTAACAAGTGTTACACAATACAAACATAAAAAACACAACATGAATGCCAAGTCTAGTTAAAACTACATAAACAATTTTTTTTTTTCAATATTTACCTAAACAATATTTCACTTTTCAATGTTTAACCAAACTTATTAGTTGTGAGCTTGAATCTCAGCCATTGATACTGCCTCAATCTTATGGTCTAAAACTTGTCTCAAATCTTGTGTCCAATATATGATCTCATAGATAAGTCCCCATAAATATTTAAATTAAACTTTGTGCATCGTATGTTGCAGATTGACTGGGGCACTTGTTAAATCGCTGTTAAAGTTCACGTCACTGTCTAGGATCATGAAAGAAGAAAGAGTAATGGTAAGAGGATTAAATTTGTAGATTAAATTTTGTAAACTAAATGACATGAAAATTGATGATTGAATTATTATTTAAACATTGATAAACATGCTTATTTTTTATTGGTGACACATCATTTAGTTTGTAATTTTATTCTATAAATTTAATCTTTCTAATATTACTGAACGAGAAAACATCACCTGCAATAATTCTCTAGTTTAATAACATTGTCTATTTTTGTTCGTTTTACTTCATTTGCATTCGATCTGATAGGCATAATTTCATCGGAAGTTGACGGCTGTGCGTACAAAAATTAACTTTGATTACTTTATGGAAGTACTAAGTACAATGATTCATTTTTTTAATTGACAGAAAACTAGATTAAGGAGAAGACAAGGAGCCCCTTAACTTATTTACTCGTCCAAATTGCTTCTGTTTTCTCATTTACATGATTCCCTTCAACGACGACACACTAGTAAACAGCCCAAGTTTCTTTCTCCGCCGGTCTTGGTGTATCTGTCATCTTTTTCCTTGTACACTATTAACACTGCAAGTGTTCTTGGCGGTTCTTCCCGGGTTAGTTTGGTGTAGTTCTAATCCAGTCGGAGAAGGCGTCCAGGGTCCTCATATCGGCGCGGTAGTGTTTCTGCGTAAATTCTAGGAAAGTAGGCCAGGTGAAGTCAGGGTACTTCCTGGGGCTATTGGAATCGACCAAGCCTCTCGGTGGGGTCACCACTCTGTCCTTTTTGGGACAGAGGAAGAAGGTGAGAGATTTCCTCACAGTTTTGTTGTTTACCACTGCTCTGTGCAAGCAGCTCCTGTAAATCCCATTTGATAGAGCCTGAAAGATCAAATCAGAGAAAGCATAAATTCAAATTCGTAAACAGTGTCTGATAGTTTGTGTCGAAAACCTTTTGAAGGTCCCTGTTTTGTCCTTCTTGTTGGAGTCCTTCAGATATTTTGTAGGGGTTGAAAGAAAAAAGAAACGGACTCTGTTTAAATAAAGTGAGCCTAATTGATGAATAAGGTAGCTTACCATAAACGTATCGCCAATGTTGACGACGAAAGCGTCAAGCTTAGGAGTAACGGAGTGCCATTTATCATCTACGAACACTTGAAGTCCGCCGACTTGATCCTGATGAAGGATTGTTAAGGATGTGGGATCACAGTGAGGCCCGGTTCCTAGTGTTAAGTCTGGTTTTTGGCACATTGGGTAGTAGTTCAACCTCATGATCGAATCATTTCCTTCGAAGAACTCTTTGAAATAGTTTCGTCCAACGCCTAGGCTCATTCCGAGTAGCTCCATTATCGCACTGGAGAGGTTGTTCATGGCATCACAATATTCTTGGTAAACCTTCCTGAGCAAGACAAATAAATGCTGCATAAGTGAAGGGATATGTGTAATGTACAAGATCATGACGATTATTTTATTGGTTTAATGATAAGGAGACCATGAAACCAATCTGAGTTTATCAATATTTTTTGTTTATTGCAGAAGCACAACTGTATACTCTAGGTGATGTGTTCTTACCCGAAATCTCTGAAATCTTCACCCATCACGTTCACAAAATAGTCATTGACCGAGGACTGGTTATCGGCACTATATCTGAAAGAAAGTGTTTCTTTCCATGGAAGTTTGGAGGAGAACCTGCCAACGAAGCTACTGGCATATCCACAGTGCTCACCAGCCTTTCTCTGAGCCCTTTGCTTCTGCGAGAGTTGCATACCAAAGAAGGAGTCCATGTACTCATGAGCTTTTCCTACGAGTTGCAAATCAACTCCATGGTTAACAATGAGAAAAAAACCATGCTTCTTGCATGCCTCATCGACCAAACGAGTTGCATTTAAGACCTCCCACGTATCCCCTGAGAGAAAGCCTTTCAGGTCAACGAGAGGAGCTGGAAGCTCTGGCGACTCGGAGCAGGGCTTCTCGTGGTCGGGCCATATGAACTTGGAGGGTATGCTGGATTGGTACTGAGCAACTGAAGCATCAAACACCAAAGGGTTTTCTTCATTTTCTTTGTTGGTTTCATTCATTGGTGGGAGATGTTGAGGAGGCATTGGCATGCTTAGCGAATAATGTGTGTAACTTCTAATTAAGATTGTGGAACTTGGAAGAACACTGTTTGGCGGCTTGATACTTGAGAGAGAGAGAGAGAGAGAGAGAGAGAGAGAGAGGAGATTGTTGGCTTATCAAGAGTTAGCAAGGAGGACAGACTTTAAAAAGAAGCAGAGAGGGCGTGGTGAGAAACTGACAAGACTGTTCATTGGGGAGGTCGGTAAACAAATATTAGAATCTTATTTGGTTTTTACTGTTCTCTCTCACACTAAGCGTACTTTGTGTTATATTATAGCTAATCTTATTGCTTAAGCTATAATATAACAGTTACAAATACAAACCCCTTCCCAACTGTTTTACCTAATTAGATTAGAATGGGTAACTCTCTAATTTGAAAGTATATTGAATGTGGCCTCGTCAAGTATCTTGAATTGGATTGAAATGAAATAGGTAACTCCCTATTTCAAAGTATATTGAAGACGAAAGTGAATAGTTTTTCATGTAGGGAATTAGATATAAAAGAAGCTCATCCATTCTAATCGGACTATTTTAGGGAGGATTGGAATGGGTAGATTTCTTTCACGAAATTCATCTTCTATCCTCTAATTAGGTATAATTTTTCAATTCTCCCTTCAACATACCTTAAATTTTAGAAGTTATTCATTTTAATCAAATTCTAGATACTAAACAAGGTCACATACACTATAGGAGGTCTTGATCATCTTATTAGTCTCATAAAAAAAAAAAAGAAATTTTTAATATGACCACAATACTATTTACCAATTCACTCATATTATAACAACGTGTATTATTATTTTTTAATTCAATACTATTACCTAAATTACAAATTCGTCCTTCACCACTAAACACATAACTCGTTCAGCCCTAAATATAATATATGAATTAATCTAAAGCCACATGACGATCACACAAATACTTTTCCAAAACATTAGGGGGCCTATGAAAAAAATTAAGAAAGGTTCTTTTCCTAGTGCTAATGCTACCAACCAGATATTTGAAAGATATGTTAGGTTTCACTACAGTTTTTCTTTTTGTAATTTTATTTTTCTGTTGGCATAGGCATGTGACACCCACTTCTCAACCATACACAAATCTAATAACCTAAGCTAGCCACATAAAAAATGTGACTTAAAAGATATTGAGGGGCCAATATCTTCAGGGGTAGAATGCCACTACTCAATGTGGGTACAAAAAATGGGGGGTATACAAGCACTATAAGCTAAGGTAACCAAGACCAACATTGTTAGAAGGCTTCCATTCTTTTACAATTGTGTTTTTCAACTCAACTTTTGCTGACTATGCAACCAAAACGAGTCGCATTTTCGTAAAAAGAAATTCAATAATTTTACATAAATCTATCATTTGTTATTAGCACTCTAAAAATGTTAATTTGCAGCCCAAATAAGTAAAACTATAAGAAAGACAAAAACACCTTAGAAGTGTAGAATAATATTTATTTTGAAGTGTTAATAGTAACTCTAACTTATTTGATGTTTATTGTCACTTAGTACTATAATCTAGTGATATTTTCTACATTCCCTATATGATAAGGCAAGTTTGATACTAAATAACAACTTTGACAAATTTCAGACCCAAAAAAATCGACAAGGGAAATGGGACAGGACAAGTCCCCTCAGGTGTATACTCCAAAGAACCCCATTTTGTATCAAGTTGCGGTGGGATAGATTCCACATTAATTCTAGAGGGCTGAACCTGTAAAAGGTTTTCTGTTATTTCATTTCAGCTTCACAATTTTAGCATCGCATATTATCCTTTGCAATCTTTCATTAACATTTAAGCTAACTTTGCAAATTATCGATCTGAATAACAGAAAACCTTTTATAGGTTCAGCCCTCTAGATTAATTTGTGAATCTCATCATCACCGTTCACAAAGATTTTCCAGTCTAGATTAAGCATGTCATTAAAGTCACCAAGGTTATGCTTGTTTTATCATAAACACAGAAAGGGGAGAAGCAAAAAGCTTACGGCAAGTAGCATGCATGACATGACAACTTGCGAAAGTTTGCACGAGTATATGCATGTACTACCAAGATTTCTTAAAGTGTGTTCTCTAGTATTCTTTAAGTAGAATGAGCTATAAGAGGTGAACAAATTTTGATCATGGGGCTTGATAGAGGGGTGGGCCACATTTGATGGGTAAGAATAGGAAACTTCGAACTGTCATATAGTGTTATTAATTCACTCTTATATAATACGTATATCTTATCATGCACATATTGTCTATGTGTGTTATACTTTAGTTCTTTGAAATATTAATTATGTCTACCGTCATTTATATTATTGTACCACCTAACAATATGACCATCACATGAAAAACTTGTCATATGTTTGTTTTTGCTAACTTAAAAGCAATTTAATGAGTGACATAAGACGTATGTATTATTTGAAATTAAACAAGTAAAAAAATGAAAACTTGATCAAGTAATAATATTTTATTCTCAAATGAAAAAAATCTGACGGTAATTCTTTTAATATTCGTGAAAGTTCAAATTCATTTCTCTGTAATTTAAAAAACAAAAAGAAAAAAGGTTACGTTTATTCTTAGTATCCTCTCACATTCATGATTAGAGTTTCCTTAAATTAAAAAAGTCAAATTAATCTGTAAATATGCGAAGGTAGAATGAAAAAGTTTTACTTACTTTTTTTCATTCCTGTTGGTCCTCTTTCAAATTGCATGGCGGCTTATTAATTACTAGATTTCATTAAAATATATTCTTTGGGATTCGAAGCTTGAATTCGATATCTGTTTTCTTATAAGAAGCAGATGATGTAAGCTAATTCACACTAATTGTTGCGCTGGAGTGTGGTTAATTATGGTGGAATAATAAGTCCAGCAATAAGTACTGCATGTAAGACAATATTCTTCAGTTGCTGCACATATATTTGAAATTTGCATGCCTCTTGTTCAATATCTCAATGTTTGTTTGTTTCAGTTGAATCATTGTAAAACAGATATATTGTCGCCAAAGAAATTCACTCCCATTTAAAAATAGGGCAAAAATAAGATGTTAAAAGCTAAAAAAATATATTATATGCATATCGGTTATGTATATCTTTTTTTTTTTTTTTTTCACAATATATAATGGTACACTATTGATATGTATGAGTTTTAGACAGATAGATGGTATATATATACATATAACTTTCCTCACACCATATCATACGAATTATATTGATATATGATGAGTCTCACGTGCATACATGGATGTTACACATTTCACCAGTTTGTTAAAAGCTTCTCTCACAATATGTATGCCAGTTTAAAAGTTATTGGATGAGTGATGCATGTTGTTTCATGAGTCTCATGTATGTTATGTAGTGCATTTTACATGTCTCTTGTGAAAACTGAAAGTAAAATAATTTTGTCAGTTATATTATATAATTCACAGTATTGTAGGTATAGCTACTTATATTGTTGTAGTGGGTTCAACAATTTGCATGTCAATGTGCAAAATTTACATATTTACAGTGAGAATAAAATTATGCTTACCAATTATATATAATTCACAAAGTAACTGCTCGTTTTACCGTTATCCGACTTGTATGCTATGTAGTGAAATTCACATGTTTACTATGAGAATATAATTATGTTTATCTGTTATATATAACTCACAATGTAACTGCTAGGTTTGTTGTTCTAGTGGGTCTGATATGCATGTCAAGTAATGAACTTCACACGTTTACAAATGAGAACAATAATATGTTAGTTAGTTATTTGTAACTCACAATGTAAATGATAATTTTATGTTGTGGCGGCCAAAAAGCACGTCATGTGATGAAATTCACATATTTACTGTGAGAAATTATGTTTGTCATTTATATAAACTCATGATGTAACTGCTAATTCTGTAATTGTGGTGGGTCCAACGTGCATGTCATGTCACATGTTTACTAGGAGAACAAAATTGTGTTTATTAATTATATATAACTCACAATGTAATAGCTAACTCTACAGTTGTGGTGGATCCATCATGCATTTTTTTTAATACAATTTATTAATACTAAGGCAAGGGGAAAAAGTTGGAAACTATTACAATAATTTAGAGAATGTGGACTTTCGAACTCGGGACACATGGTAGAAATTCAATATCCTATCCACTAGGATATTAGATGACATGCATCCAATATGCATGTCATGTAGCAAAATTCACATGTTTTGTAAGAAATTATGTTTTATAGTTATATATACCTCACAATGTAACTGGTAGTTATCTTATTGTGGTGGATCTTGACATATATATCATATGGCAATATTCACAAGTTTATCGTGAAAAATTATGTTTGTTGTTTATATATAACTCACAACGTAACAGCTAATTATGTAGTTGTGGTGGGTCCAACATGCATGTCGTGTATTGGAATTCACATGTTTACTATGAGAACAAAATTATGCTTATTATTTATATATAACTCACAACGTAATTGCTAATTCTGTGTTTGTGGTGGATCCAACATGCATTTTAAAAAAAATTAATTATTAGTAAGAGGAGGGGAAAGAGTTGGAAACTATTACAATATTTTAGGGAAGGGGGACTTTTGAATATAGGACGCATAGGTAGAAATTCAACACCTTATCAACAAGGATATTAGACCACATGCATCTAATACGCACGTCATGTAGCGGAATTCACATGTTTTGTGAGAACAAAATTATGTTTGTTAGTTATACGCACGTCATGTAGCGGAATTCACATGTTTTGTGAGAACAAAATTATGTTTGTTAGTTGTATATACCTTGCAATGTAACTGCTAGTCATGTTGTTATGGTGGGTCTTGACATGTATGTCATGTGGCGAAATTCACATGTTTACTATGAAAACTTATGTTTGTCATTTATATATAACTCACAATGTAACTGATAATTCTATAGTCGTGGTGGGTCCAACATGCATGTCATGTGATGGAATTCACATGTTTACTGTGAGAACAAAATTATGTTTATTATTTATATATAGCTCACGATGTAACTACTAATTCTGCGTTTGTGGTGGATCCAACATGCATTTTTTTTTCCTTAAAAAAAATTATTATTAGTAAGAGGAGGGGAAAGAGTGTTGAGGATAGTAATCCAATGGATATGGATGTGCCACCTGTC